AAAGAGCCTTACTATATGACACGATGTTTATCGATTTTAACAGTTCAAACCAATTCAAATGGATATCCCTAAGGAACATCTCTATAATGCCTCAATGCTTCCGGTCCTTCCTTTCTCGAAAGCACTGCGAAGGCTGCCGGCAGCGTGGTTGTTCCTTTCGCGATTTGGTGTCTGGCGCACAGCGCGAACGTCTCATGGTGAGTTTGTTTTCTGTATTCTTTGTGTGCACTTAATAGCTTGAAAGTAACCACAGCAAAGGTAATTACTTACTCTGGGAGATGGCAAAATCTGTGTGCCATTGCCCATTTTTGGGATATAGGTTGCGATTGCCATCTGTTTGCCAGTGTTAGCAAAATCTGCTTAAATACCAATTCGTGTGCTCTGAGGATATGGCTCAGAAATTAAGCGTTTCTGCCGTTTCTCTAATATTTGTCTTACTCTCCCTTTCAGAGCAAGAAGCCGGAGAGACGATGCTCTCAATGTTGGACACCGAAGTGAGGCAACTCATCGGGCACAACGCCAAAATGTCCCTGTTGTGTCTTGGCCCTGGGTCACGCGTGTCGCGCCTTGACAGCCGTGACCTTGAACGACCTTGACCGGCCGGGCCGGGCCGAGCGGCCGAGGGTCAGTATCGTCCGAGCGGCGCTGGTGTCAACACAGCTGAGTGCCGCGAGGTGAGGTGAGGCGTGTTCGCCGAGACGGTCCGGCCACAGTGAAATAGTGAAATAGTGGTGTAATCGATAATATGCGTGGCCAGTACGCGAGTGAGATTGACCCTGTGCGCGACACCGATTCAGAGACGCACATAAGTTAACACCGTCGTGTCGGATCGCTCGTACCGGTGATGGGAGACAACGAGCAGCTGGAGCGTCTGATGGCGCTCATGGTTCAGCAGTCAGCAGGCTGCCATGCTGGAGTAGCTCCTCCCCAGCCAGATGCAGCTACCATCTGCGCAAACTGTCTAGAGCGGCCAACCGGCTGTCGTCGCCTCCGCCGCTCCTATGGCTAGACTTCGGTCTCACATGGACTGCCGTCGGTAGTGTTCACATGCCAGCCCATACATTTTACCTGTATTAACTTTTTAATGTCTGTGCCTGTGTAACTATTGTACGTGCCTGTACTTAACAGTGTTTGAATTGTACATCGTTCGCACAGTCTGTGGACCGTGGGGAACGCCGCTTGACATGCATTTTTGCACTTACCTGCATTCCGTGTTAAAAGTAAAGTAAAGGGACTGAGCTGTCGTGCACCGGGAGATATTATGGTCTCTTGCTAAACGACACAGTTGAAACTCAGCACGCCGGTCGGTACTGACTGGGGCGGCAAGCGAGAGGGTTTGGGCAGCTTTTGAAACAAAATGTTCGCATCGAATGACTGCATCGCATGTTCTGTTCCAGAGTGAGTTTTTTGACATCTGACACAATAAATATACATGCCTGTTCTTTACCTTGTTTGTGCATGGAGGGAATGGGAAGGATCGAGAACGCGGATGCTGTGCCATGAAAAGCTGGCGCTCTACAGGGAGGGGAGAGGGGGGGAATGGGTCGTGAGCGCGAATGCCGTGCCAGGAAAGCCGGCGCTCCTAAGTTGTAAAGTTCTCGGAGACCATACAGGATCATATTATGAGCGGGAATTGTGTTCGTTTATGATCTCATGACCTGGTAAAGGTTCTCATGGGAGATCATCCCGCAGTATAAGAGTACCTTATCCGGGCAAAGTTCTCGTTCAAGATAGCACACCATTCTCACTCGAGAACGTTACGGGAAAAACCTGAGAACTTTACCAAACTGGAGACCAACAACTGTAAACAAAGTTCTCCCCAATTGAGGCTCTCATACAAGACCAGAACGACCCCTGCATGGTCTCTGAGAACCATGGATAGGCTTGAGTGTTTCTCAGTGTAGTTTCCGACGGCCGGTGGCCCAGCGTTATATACTGAATAAGCCCAAGCAGGTGGACGTGATAGATTATCACGTGAATTATTTAGTTTGCCAAGCAGATGCATTTGTCGAAAAGTCATAGTCATGCGAGCAGACCGCGCCGGGGACGGGGTGCGCCCTTTGCAGCCCCGATGACCTGTTATTACGTTTGACAGGGCGGTGCCATTACCTACGTATGTATAGTGTTCTATTTCGAACATTCGAGCGTTGACTTTTGCAATATCGTTTGGCTTGTAAAACATATATCTCTTGGTGGGGACTATTCACCGTCTAATTGAGTCAATAATGTAGCATATATAAAGTTGAAACAGTGCAAGAAAGGTAACACCAAAAAGACGGGAAAATTGGCATGGAGCGAATGCTGTTGCTTTTCCTATCACATGAGGACCAGTGAAAATAAAATTACGAAAACTAAAGTAACGCAGCATGGCGTTAGGTATGTCGCTAAAATTGGTTTTCCTGTATAAACAACGAGGAAAGCACAATATGATGCTTCTATCTCTCTCTAAAAAAGATGAAAATACAGTGATACGGTGCTGGTTCATGACACCTCTGTAAGTATATGGGAAACGCTTTCTGTACATATTTTCAGTGTACAGCTACCTTGGTGGATACATGATCAAATGCCCTGTTGCACCACGGTTGCACCATGGCGCCGTCCTTCAAGTGTCCCTGGCGCTAATGACCTGGCCGCCCAATAATCCGTCCAGCCCACAACAGCTCGACCAGTTTGCGACCTTTGCAAAGTTTGCTCGTTTTATCAACACCACAAACAACCGGGCAGCACTCGGCGGCAGCCCTTGAGCAGACCTTTCGCAACAGCAGGTTTCTGAGCTCGGCACCCGGCGGCCCCCTTACCCTGAAAGTGTAATGGGCTGGTGCAATAGCGCCGGCCGTATGGGTCGTTGGTAGCGGCTGCAATATCCATTGTATTGTATTAACATAGAAATAAAAGTCTTATATTGCGTATGAGCCCTGAGACACAGCCTGGTCCTTCAGGGCTCCAACTGAAACGAACTAATTCGATTGATTGTTATCACGATAGCTTCCTGTTGACTAAGAGCACAGCGCAAATATTTGCATATCGACAGCAGCCCATTTCCCTACACGCAGAATTGACGCCGAACTCCCCTCCCATGCTCTGTCGCGTTCAGCGTTCGATTTTTAACCGACGATCTCGTGACCCATAACTGGCCGGGAGCATTGGCCGGTCGTCGGCTGCGTCCCTTCCGACGCAGAGAAGCGTCGACGCCGACTGGGGCGCAGCCATGCAGAAAAACTGAGCCGGCATCGATCGACGGCCGAGCCGGAACTGAAGCGCATGGCGGGGAGGGGGGAAGGGGCCATGGGGGGGGGGGGGCTTAGGGGGACGGAAGGGGTCATGGAAGGGGTGGGGATAGGGAAGGGGTCATGGGAGGTTAGGGTGGTAGGAAGGGGGTAGGGAGGGGGTGAGAATAGATGAAAGGACATGGGAGGGGAGGGCTGATATTTGATGGGGTCATAGGGTGGAGGAGTAAGAGATGAAGGCTTTATGGGAGGGAAGGCTGTTAAGGGAAGGGGTGATGAGTGGGAGGGATAATAGGGAAGGGTTCATGAGGAAGTGGAGAAAGCTTCATTAGAATGCGAAATAAAAATTTATGGAGGTAAAGTCCTATACCTCCCAAAACATTTTTCTTTTCATATTAGGCCATGTTGATAGGAGAAAATGCAGGGCAGACATAAATATTACAGCTAAATGCTGCTTCACAGCCTTAAACAAAAACATTGCCGGAGCCTAAAACCTCCAGCTACATTTCATTCAAACGCGGAACCCAACATCGTGCCTGCACACCATAATGTACGGGCAGCTCGGCACGCATTGCCCGGCGGGTTTTATAGAGCGCCTTCAAACGGGCAATTACTGGGGCCATGTGCGCCGCCGGATATTTAGCCGCGCCGCAGCGAGCCCGCTGCTCACATACCCTACACCCAAACCCTAATTATTGTAAAAAAGAAACGAAAAATAAAGACGGCCGCCCAGGATTTGCAGCGCTGTTGCATTGCTGGAGTATGTAAATTGTCGCATATTAGTACTCAGCGCGTGTAGTACGAGCGCCTGGTTCAAATTAACTGCATGAGCGGCGGCGTAGTGTGCGAGTCGTAAAACCTGCACTTGTATGGCGTCATCGTAAGCCGAATTTGACGACACTCAAATTGTAATTATTCATGGCATTGCTGGTAATAAATTTTATTTATAATAGGGGCAGTAAGGCGAGTTTCCTTAATTAAATTAGTTAGATTATATGGTACTGGTGAATTGCGCGAATCATGCGATTATTATGGCTCCCATGTAAAATAATATTCCTTTTTAATCCACGACTGAGCTTGATTGAAGTGGTGTTTTTCACTAAGCTAATTTCACTATTCGAATCTGAGAAAAATATGATATACCTTTTTTCTCTGAAAATATCTGTTCAATAACTAAGGAAATGACACAAAAAAAGTTGTACAAAACGGTAAGGCAAAAATATTTTACTAATACTCCCTTTGCATCAAGAGTGCATTGGAAAGTTAAAAAATACATTTTAATTTCACGATTCATGAAAAACAGCATGATCCTGAACTTCTCACTACCCTTATCAATGTTAGACGTAAGGCGCAGTGTTCAAAATGGCGCTGCCGCACCGCCCGTTTTGCGGTTCCCGTGGGATGGGGGCTGGGACCGATTGGGGAGGAGCCTCAGTCCGCTGCCCAGCCCAGCCCGACTCCCCGGGTGAAATGGAACAGGGTGACCTTGGTCCGTCCGCCCTCCGGTAATGAGGAGAGGGGATGGGGGCAGGGAGCCATATCACCGGCTGGGCGGCCAGGGAAGCATTAATTTTGTTAAAAAAGAAGTTACACAGTCTTGCGAAATGGTACCAGAAAAGAAAAGAAAAGTAATTGAAACCATGAGTACAAAAAAGCAAACGGAGCTCAAACTACGAAACTTTGACATGCAATACGTAATAAGTAACCAAACAACTTATCTTTACGTCATCAGGCACCCTGGGAATCGAGAAAAGCGCACAATGTGCTGCTTACCTGCTGTGCAGTAGTAGAACTTGAGCGTAGAATTCGCGTCTGCACAAAGTTTCTGCTGGCACCCGACTGCCGGCCGATCTGGGGTACTGGGACAAACCCAGCGAGCAGACCAGCAACGCGCAGGTGCGGACCAGAGAAAAACCACGGCAAAAAATCTCCAGACGGCGCAACACGGGCTTTTTGCCATCGCTTTTTGTCGAATTCACTGACGCTTCGGTCAAGGGCAGCTTTTTGTGCGTCTGGCTGTCTGCACGAGCCCGTCTAGCCGGGCGGCCAGACGGCTGAGTCGAGAGCGTCCTGCAAAAAAACATAGCCGGCCTTGCTGACGTCACAGTTGTCCGCAGCCGGACTGTAGTCCGTGTCCACCGACCCGTCCTGGGGGGCGCGGGGGGGGGACACCGCCATACCATTGATAGGCGCTCACCGGTGACGCTTTTTTGCCCGTCTGTCTGGAATCGACCCCCGCCCCCACGCGCCGCACACGTGACGTCAAAAACGCTGCAAAAACGTCCCGCCACACTGTCTAGACAGAGCCCTTGGCCGTGACCTTGTGTTGACTGCGGGTGGGTGGGGGAGGGGAGGGAGGGGGAGGGGGACGCGCCCGTCGGGCCCGCCACCCGCCAGACTGGGGATGGGGCGGGGGAGTGGGGGTGTTTTTTGTTGCCAGGAATGTAATAGGACGTCTGGGGAGGAAAAGTGAAAGTTAAAAGCGGGAAAATTGAACCTCATTAGCTTCCAGTCTTCTTTTTTGGTCCATACAACAATTCATTCGTAGTGCTTGCGATGCTGAAAGGTTATTAAGTGACATTTAAAGGCGGTCACCTCAAAGCAAAGCAAAAAATATCAAACTGAACTAAGCGTTGAACTGGACAGTGCTTTCCTTTTAAAATATTTTTGTTTTTTCCCGATATTAAGTATGCAGTTGAACGCTTCATGAATAGGTATTCCTGGACAATGGTCACTTAACTCTTTTTATTTTTTTTCCATTGGTGTATTCGAAAATGCAAAGAATCAGTGCACTGTGTTTTGGAAGACTTTGGGACGGGGCACGCTAGTAGTGTTGCTTTGATTATGAGTAACTGACTTACATGCATACTTAAAACAGTGACGTACCCAAGGGGGGGGGGGGGGCACGGGGGCCATGGCCCCCTCCTGAGCGCCCTCGGCGCTCAGGGGGCCCCTCAGGCCCCGGTATATTTTTTCAAACACTGGATAAAACGTCTTTTACTAGGAAGAAAAAATGATATCAAAGTTTCATTTATGTGCCCCTGGTTACCCGAGGGGCCCCTGATGACCCTATGGGCCCCTGCAGTCATCCGAGGGCCCCCGGTTTCCTGAGCCCCTGGTCGCCTAGGGGGCCCCTGGTAGCCGGGGCCTGGTCGCATGGGGCCCCTGATTGCCTGGGGTCCCTAGTCGCCTAGGGGGCCCTGGTAGCCGGGGGGCCTGGTCGCATGGGGCCCCTGATCGCCTGGGGCCCCTAGTCGCCAAGGGGGCCCCTGGTAGCGGGGGCCTGGTCGCATGGGGGCCCCTGGTTGCCTAGGACCCCTGAGAACCCCTGGTTGCCCGGGGGCCCCTGGTCGCCTGGGCGGCCTGGGGGCTCCCTGGGTGACCTAAGGGCCCCTTCGGAAGCAGGTGGCCCCCTCCTGGGCGAAATCCTGGGTACGTGCCTGACTTAAAATATAGTGGTACAAACGGCAGCATCAATGCAGTATTTCAAACACTTTTTGGTAGCAACCAAGGACAAGATCGGACATATTTTTAGTTTATTATTTTTACTTCTAAGTTCCTATTGGCTAGAGCACTTCATGGGCCGGATAAATCCGTTATCCACGGATAAATCCGCGGACCGGATAGGATTGGATTCTAAATTTGTTAAAAAAGAACGGATATGGGCGGGCCGGATTTGGGAATTGAAGGTTGAACCCGGATCAAAACGGATCAAAATTTTAACATTCAACATTGAAGTTAAAAATTAACCTAATGTGATAAGCGGCAGCAGAGGTTTGATTAAAGTAATAGGCATCATTTTATGACACTCACTTGTCACAAGACTTGTCTTCAAGTGGATAATGTATGCAATGTATGCATGGTTTTTGGAACCATGATGGTCTATGAGATGTATGGCTGTCTGGTCCCTTAGATTGAATTTGTTAGTCCAGTTTTGGGTGAAACCAGTTATTGGTGAAACGGATTATTACGGATATTTTTTGGAAGTTTGGCTGCAATACGGGCCATGGGTGGGCCGGATTCTGATATTCAAAGAAAGGCGGATAATGGGCGGATCTGGATATGACTTGCCGGATATGGGCCGGGCCGGATCCTAAAAAGCCTATCCATGAAGTGCTCTACTATTGGCTGTTATAAATCATTTATAGTAAAACGGACCCATCAAAGTAGTCCCAATATAAAGAATCATTTCTTTAGACAATAGCTCAACAACCTCTTAGGTATGTCTGAAAAAGTCATCGAAACTGTGCCAACACGCTGCACGAAAACCTTATGGCGCTTCCCTCTTTCACTCTCTGCATCTGACTGTCAGAGAACATATTTATGACCGGAGCTACTATCTCCCGTCGGAACACCTCACCCACCATCTGGCCACCCTTTCCACCGCGGCAGGCTCCCCTGCGGGCCGCGGCAGTACAAACCCTCCCAGACAGCGCTTTCCCCGGTGCCCGGCGTTCCCCTCAGCTAACCTTGAACTTCGAGGCGTTCTCTGGCGGCTGTCGACCCGCGTCCCGCCTCGCCGCCGCCGGCCGCCGTTGCCGCGTCGTTTTGTGGCTGCTGCGAGCAAGAAGTGCGGCAAAAACGGCGCCGATAGAGGCCGTTTTTGGCGTCCGACAAGAAGGCCGCCAACAAAAAGCCTTTCCCGCGCACAATGCACCCATTGGAAGCGATCGCCGGTGTGAAACACGCCGCTACCGACAGGTGAATTCCTTTGTGGAGGGTATATCGAGCACGTTTTATTTGCTGCAATGACAAAAGTCGTCCACCAGTGTCCACAATAACCCGCTGATTTTCTCACCGCAATGGTATGTTACGGCGGAGTGTGGTGCGGGTGGGTACATACTGTGCAGCATTAGCCGGCAGCCGACGTTTGCCTGGGAGTTAGACTGTCCCGCAGACAGCTGAGTTCTGCGGCGCAGTCTACCAGGCCAGGCACGCCGTGCAACTCACCTCTGCAGCGCGGCTTGCATCGGCTCGTGGTGGCCAGGACGCCGTGCGCCAGCACCAAGGCTTCAACGGGTTTCGGTGCATCCTAGGCTTCAAAGATAAGCGGCGATGTAGAGCCGTCGCCGCCGACACAGGAGGAGAGCCGTGGGAACGGCGGGTGCCGTCTGCGCCGGCTTTGTTCTGACCGGACGCGGGCCCGCTTCCGTCGGCGAGCTTTTCCCCTTGCCGCCGCCGCCGGGCTTGTTGTCCGCATTGAATTTTCAAACGGCCGCCTCTCATAGCGCGGCCAGATGTTTGTCGATCACAAGACGTGGACGCCGCATGGCGCGCGGCCCGCCGTCGTCTGGCCGGTGCATTTTTCCGCAGCGACCGGCCGGACCAGTTTTTGGTGGAGGAGCCATGGCGCCGCGGCCCGGCCGGCCATTGTATACCGCCGCTGGGGCATCCTGCCGGCTGGACTGTGTTTGGGGCTGCCGGAGGCGGCTGGTGGAGCGCGCCGCCGCCGCGCCGCGCCGCCACCGAGGCCAGTTTTTGCCTCCGACAGCTCTCTCACGACCGATGACAGCGGCGCCGGTGCGGATGACGCCCTTCCTGACATTTTCCTTCACATCTAGCGCCGCCTACCCCTCCGCGGCTCTCGGTGCCTGGCTCAATGGCTGCATCGCTGTAATAAAGAGCCCGTTCGGATGATCATTGAAAGGTCCCATCGTCGGTATAGGATCATCATCAATGTGCGTTGTATTTCCGGTGTTCGTTAGTGGTCGTCGATGTTAACGAGCGGCTGGACAGTGGACATCCTTGCAGCCGCCGCCTTTTGTGTTCCGTCGATTAAGTAATTTTACTTCTGGCTGTTGTTCGCTGAGGAGTGTCGCATCAGTTGGCGGCAAATGCGGAAACATGCTTTAATCACGCCACCCACGTGTGAAGAAATGTTCCAAGAAAGGTCTGTTTGGTATGGCCGTAAAAAAGCCCGCACCATGTTGCATATCCATTCGAATACCGAGATGTCACACTGGCATGTGTGGGATTTCACCCAGCGAACAGCGAGCTTCATTTGAGGTAACTACTGCATGGTCAGACACAGCTCTTGCTTATAGACCGTATCCAGGCAAAAAGCTAACCCTTTCCGGCGATTCAGTGCATAAATAATGAAATAAAAAAGTAGCAGTGCTAACTGGCGTGACTTATTGAAGCCCCATTCACGAGGGCGCCTTTGAATTGCGATACTCTGGAACCACCCACCTACATAAGCGTGTCGTACTGACGTCAATACTCATACCGACTTCGGTCCAAACCGTATAAGAATGTCGGTAGGGTACTTTGGAACGGAGCAAATTTATCATTTTAGATTAAAACGCGTCATGCTTTGTGTATTTTAGTGAAATATCAAGCATTGCATGAGTTTTGTCGATATAAAATCACTCGCTTCACCTTGAAATAAAAATAGCACGAAAAAAAAAACGCAAGCCACATATGTCACTAAACACAGTCCCCATCCAATAGCATTGCTTTCATGCTGGATCGTTTGCCTAAGGATGTAGCGCCCATGCCAGCATGTATGTAGGTATGGGCGCCATTAGAGACTCGGTCCCCGGAAGGACTGCGGCGGGTGTCGAACTGAAGGACGGCGGTAAAGCCGAGGGGCCCCGGCAGCGGCGGAGGGGCGGGGGTGTCCTACACCAGCTGTACACAACGTGCATACATGTGCCGGAGACGGTGAGGCAGCTGTCTGCGCGCCGTTTTTCACGCAGTCTAACACCTGTTGTGTCGGAAACCCTGCCGGTTCACGGCAGCAAAAACCGCGGCGGCCACGACGCAGCGCCACTGCCGGCCGGCCGGCCCGCGCGCGGGCTCCGCGCGGGTTCAACGTGGGCCGTGCGGGGAGATAGGCCGGCTGAGGCGGGATAGGGAGCTGGGTAGATGAAGACGTAAGGCTAGCGCTTTTCAAGATGTCCATCCGTAAGTGATGATACAAAAAGTGTGACGAGTGACGACTTGCTCAAAGTTATCGAAATATCACTTTATTGAACTTTGAGGTCAAAACTTTTCCAGTTGAAGTACTTTTAGGTAAATGCTTATATTTTCCATAATTTTGAAAAGTAGAATTACTTGGAAATATTTTTGAAAAATATGTTGTGCTGAGCAAAGCGCCAGAATACAAATGAAAAAAATACTTGCAATGGAAAGGCCGCGTGAGAATAATACCCACTGTTGCCAGATAGGTCAGTTCGTTTCCAGGTGAAATCAGTCGGTTGCCAGGTAGCGTCTGTTGCCAGGAGACGAAACTGGCGCAGACAGCGGCATCAGCTGGCCGCCGCCCGATGACATTGGCCCAGAGTTTTTGTGTTGCCGTTTTTTCGGCGTCGGGAGTTTTTCCTCTGTCTGGCGATCATGGAGCAGACGCGTAAAAAACGCCGCCCAATGCCAAGGCCATGGTCGATAGCATTCCCACCCTGCCATGGAACCGTCTACTCCAGTCAGCTGTGCATGGTCCATAGTTATTTTGGCAGCGTCTTACCGTAGTGGTAATGAATATTGTTATTCAGCACACTAGGTTTTTATCTGGTAAAAGAGTACTAAAGTAATCCATGAAGATTCCGCATCGATAAGGAGAAAATCCTGTTGGAACTCAACAACTCAACCCTCAACCTGGTGGGAGGGGGGGGGGGGTAGACAAAACAGACACCGTACGACTTTTCCTATAGTCATTTCTGCTTTACATTTTAAATAAATTTGATTTGTCTTCTGCAATGAGCTTCCGAAATTGCCCAGACCTTTCGGTCTTTTTTCCTTCTGTGACCATTCTTATTGTCCTAAATCATTCAACCTCCATGTCCAAATACCTGCACTCGAAGAGTTCCCCAACATTTACCCCTCTCCCTGATTCCTCTCTCCCACCCATCCCTCCTCGACCTCTCAGCCCTGACCCCTCTCTCCCTAACCCCTCCCCTTCTGACCTCTCTTCCTTACCCCTCTCCTCCTGACCCATCTTCCCCGTACCCCCCCTCTCTCTCTCTCTCTCTCTCTCTCTCTCTCCTTCCCCCTGACCTCTCTCCCTAACCCCTCTCCTCCTCGACCTCTCTCGCCTTGACCCCTCTCTCCCTGACTTTTCTCCCTGACTCCTCTTTTCCTGATCTCTCTCTCTCTCTCTCTCTCTCTCTCTCTCTCTCTCTCTCTCACTCTCTCTCTCTCTCTCTCTCTCTCTCTCTCTCTCTCTCTCTGACCTCTCTCTGTCCTCTCTCCCTGACCCTTCTGCACTGCCCTGCAACACGCACTGGCAGCGTCGGGTCGGCGGGCGGCGCGGCGCCGAAATAAAAAGCCCGCCATATCGATCTACCGCTGCGCCGCCGCGCGCCATGGGCCTGCAACGTTGCAAATGTTGAAATTTGGCCGGGCTGAGTCGGGCCGGCGCAGCGGCGGGGTGCGGACCGGGCGGCAAGCTGGCGACCAAGGCGCAACCCATCGTAGACTATGAGACCTACATGCTGGCCTTCCTGAGGCTACTCGGGGTGAGTCGAGGTCACGGCTCGTCGTGACCGGCGGGGCCGACGGGCGGGCCGACGGACTGCCCGTGACGCGGAGGGTATTTTGGGCCGGGTCTCTGATGGGTTTCGGCGGAGGTGGCGGCGGTGGCGGTCGGTAGGGTGGGTGTGAGCCGTCACTGCCAGCCGGAGGCGGTCCCGTCGCTCACTGTGTGCATGCTGTGAATGGTGCACGTCCCACTGGGTCACCGACCCGGTGCAACAAGTGGCGTCCCGGCATACCGGCCAGGGTACTCAGTACTCACCACTTCCATATGTTACCGAGCTTTGATAGAAGTGCAGTTGCAGATAACTGTTTGATGGAATTCTAGCTCCATTTTCAGTGATCTATTTTTGTTACCAAAGGATGCAGGCGCGATAGTGCTCGTTGCAATGTTCGGCACTTGGCCTGGCTCGTTTTTGCATGTTGGAGTGAATCCAGCCCGTTGACTCATACTAAACAGGGGTTGTCGTAGTATCAAGGGATTTGACCCATTTGGCCCAGAGCCAGTGGTTGATTGGTTCTGGAACACGTATTTATTGTCCCTAAATTGTTCATCGGGCAACGCCTCACTTTAGGAGGAAGTGAAGATTGCGGGTCAGGAATCGGGATGTACTTCACTCTAAGTGCAGCCTGGCAAGTACTACTAAATACGTTTTGCACTATTTCCCTCATACCTTGATCATAAAAATACCCCACGCCTCAGGGATGATCAGCATTCGATCATTCAATGCTATGAGCGATTCCAATGAGCCTTGACTCAACAACAGACTGAAAGACAAATCCTAAACTCCGATCCAATGCGAACGCACCGCCGTGTTTGCCATGTCACTCTGCTGCGAAATAATGAGTCCAACTTGGACTGACAGGCTGCCAATTAATTAGGCTTTGTTAGACTCATCGATATTATTAGCTGCAGCGGACATGGACGGTGCAGGCTATGGGTCGTCCTGTGGAGTCTGGAGAGGGAAGAGGTCGGGTCAGGGAGGTTGTGGGTGGGTCTTTGCGATATCTGTCCTTGATGGTGTAGCACTTAAGTGGGCATTTTTGATGCATTGTGAAGTTGAGTAAAATATATTAATTTGTCGACAAATAAGCTTTAACAACGGAATTACAAAAAGGGGTTATATCCTTTGACCCTTTTCACTATTAATTGCTGCACCTTACATGGCAAAACCAACAACCTTTTTATGTTTCTTTGGTGATAATTGTAAACTCTTTGTAATGCTTTCTTCTAAGGCAATTTGTAAGCAGGTACGGTCAATATCTCCTTTGGGGGCCCGAGAATTAAACATAACGCACTTCCTTTGCCAAAAAAAGGTACTCGAGGCTCCCTATCACCTTATGTCCTATGAGGAGCTTAGTCTGAAACGTCAGTGAAAATTACTGAATTCCGTGACTCTGGACAGTTTTTTTTTACCAGCTCAGCAACATTTTAACAGCTTTTTCCATTGCACGAAGCTTATAGGTACAGAAACAAAGCACTCGGCGTAGTGCAGAGCTCTTTGTTCGTCCCTCGGGAACTAATTGGAATAAGCATAACCTCGATCGATATTACAGGGGCCACCGTTCCATTCAGTCACGTAATACGCAGGTAATCCAGGAATATATATCAAACTACAGACCAGAAATCCGCGCGCGTAAACTCAGGCATAGTCCAGCGCTAGTGGAAAATGGAATTATGCAGATACGTGAAAAAGACACGCTATAGTTTTGTCTGCTTGCTATTTGTAGCGCGAGGGTACCTACATACGTGGTCGGAGACAAAGAGTTTCAAAACGCAATGTCCTTTGTAACAGAGCCTAGGAAGCCCTATTAGTATCTATAGCGAAGTTCTGTTCTTGGACGATCTAAGAGAATACCAAAATAATTTTATGAAACGTTGCAACAAGACTGAGTAAGTAACATGATGTTTTGCAACAACCATGCAATTCTGTACAGCAAGTTACACCCATAACTTCCAGTCTACATATATTCTTGTTGATAATAAATAATTATTTACATCCTATCAATGCGTACTATCAGTGCGTACTTCCTACACAACAGTTAGTTGTTCGCTATGAGTGTCTGTCTGTCACATTCTTATCCCAACGACTATGTATTCCTGTTCAGCTATCTAATCTTATCAGTCTAACTACACACTAGCCTTACTCCCTAGCCGACGCCACTCTGCCCGGAGTTCTGACAGCGCAACCGGCCCGGCTTTCTTCCCATATGTTTAACCGCGCTTGGTATGCCCATGGCACCAAAGCTGCACCGGTCCGATCCCCTCACGTTTTCCTTGCTGGATTTGGGCACCGTGCGGATTTTGTGGGGCTTCTATCTCTGAGCTTCTCAGCTCTGAGTTTCTAGCTCGCGTCGAGCTGTGCGAGCTACAGCCCGGCGAGGCCGGCCGACGGGGGCACTGCCCTGCCGCCGCCGCCGCCGCCGACGCGTCGGTCAGTCCGAGTCGGAAGAGCAGAGTAGCGTCGACTGCGGCGGTGTGCGTGCGAGCGCGTGGTATCGACCGTCCTCGCCACGTGGGCCACTGGCGCGCGCGCGGCACAAAGGCGGTGACGCGCCCGCGGGCATCAGTCGAGGTCAATGGCAGCCGGGTAAAAACCCGAGGAAGAACGAAGACGCCGTCGGCGCCGGCGGGGGTGGGGCGCCACCACGTGGTGCCCGCAGGCGATCGAACGACGGGGGTGGCAACAGTCGGTCACAGAGAGGAGAGAGGAGGTGGCGAGGGGGAGAGAGGGGGAGGGAGAGAGTAGCCACGCGCCGAGTGGCGGGGAGGGGAGATACGCAATGCAATATCGAGGTATTATAATTTGGTCCATGGTAGGTACTCTAGCTATGTAACGTTCATGGGCACTGAAAATATTGGACAATCTCTGCTTGAAACAAATGCTTGAGTTTTGCTTATGCATGAATACATTTATTATTACACTGATCCTAAATAAATATTGCTATTAGGTTACTCTAAAAATTCTAGCAAGTGAGGGCTAAGAAGAAATAACTCAAAACAAGCACAGAAGTTGGTTTCTAGCCTGAACTATTTACCATTTCTTTGTTCGGAAATGCATGTGTCATCAGGCAGTTTCTAATCAAAGCCATCTGAAATAGTCTTTCAAGCATGAAGCGGATGTAAGTCTCCATGGCCTAACCTGTTCTAAAATAGACATTGATTTCATTAATTTTCAAACTTCTCCCGAATCCGTTAGAGTCAACGGAGGCAGGAGGCGCACGCTGAGGACATCCGCAATCTCAAACCCTCCTCTTATGCCCTCCCAGCTGAGGTGGTGAGTGGTGACCTCTCTCGTGACGCAAGGACAGGTGCGGGTCAGTGACCTAAGGCGCTGCACTGCCAGAGAAAGCTGCACGTCGCACAGACTCGCCAGTGATCGGCGGCACTGCGCGGCGCCGACCAGGCCAGGCCAGTGGCCACTGGACAAAAACTCGCTCCGAACGGGGCCGCAAAAAGACGGCCAGCGACCAGAGAACGGCCATCGACGGTCCAAACGACCGGCCGGCGGCGACACGGAGTGACCGGGCACCAGCGAGCGGTCACTGTGGACCAGGGACCAGAGACTAGTGACCAAAGACCGGGCACCAGCGATTGGTGACTGTTGAGCAGAGGCCAGTGACTAGTGACCAAAGACTTGAGGTCTGAAATCGGAGCCTAGCGACCAAAAGCAGGCATAAGGTTTTCAGGGACCATAGAACAGAGGTCATGGACCGAGACCATCGACTGGTGACGACAGCATAGCGAGTGGAACAAAGAACACGTAGATTGTATTGACAAAATGTCTGTTCGGAGCAGGTCGCCTTCTAAACGCAAGCATGTGAGAAGGCATGGTCACTTGCAGTACCGGTCGTGGGTACGGCATTTCAACCATCAGTAAATGAGTCATTCACCAGCACCAGATCCCATCAGCACCAGAGTCCTCCTATCAGCACCAGCGTCCTGCCACCGACACCAGCGTTCAGCGGAAGGGGCGAGCCATTTTCGTTCGCGGCCCGGAAGTGGAATATTAGGCGCGACTTGCCGGCGATAAAAAGCCAGACCCCCAGCCCCGGTGGGGTGGGGTGCACAGGGGAGGGGGAGAGGGGTGACCGGCGCATGACGCTGTGACGGTCACGTGACCGGGCAAAAAGCCTGCCCTCGGGCTGTGAGACATCGACGGACAGCGATGGGGAGGGAGCGAGGGGGAGGATTGGATGACTGACACCGTTCACTGGGTTCGCTCAGGTAAGCCCCATACCCTGGAGGCTGGGGGAGGGCATCATGGGGAAAGACACAGCCAGTGAGACTAGATTCGACCCATACAGCGCACACCAGTTGCTGCAACTCCAGTGAGGGTCGATAAGTGCCTGTCACTTCCCAATCAACCACCCCCTAACAAAGCTTAGTACGAACAACCATCTGCCTCACGGACCCCTCTGTGCACTGCAGCAGGCAGCAGCACTGTCACTGAATAGGAGGTTTTCGGCCACCACCTCCCTCCCTGGCGTGTGCCGGTGCGTATAAGCCGCGCTGATCCGGCGGCGGGACCAATTAGTTGCAAGTGCAATAACGTGCTGCAGTCGGTGCTCCAACGCCGAGCGGCAGGGATACCGTTTGTGGGGAGCATGTGTCACCTCCACGGCCGGCCGGCGCGCGCGACAGAGGAGGATGCATCAAACACAATGGATACCCGGCACACATGCAGGCAAAATGGGCCAGTAATACCTACCCGCTAGTGATTAAAATGAAATAATGCGTGCTGTTTTCTTTGTTGCTTCGCATGACTGAAATGATTAGCCTTCATTGCAAGTGGTTACAATTTCTTTTGTTTAATGTGCTGAGCTGGTTGTTTACTTTTGGAGCTAGTGGACGAGAATCCTTTGCGATCTTTATGACCGAACAGACACAAAGGTACAAAATAGCAAACCGTGCCGGGTGCCCCCTATTTCGAAGTCAGGATCTCTCACTGCCACCTCTAACTGCTACATAGACACCAAAGAT